AGTGAGCAGAAACTGAAATGGCATTTGATCTTTCATTGTAAGTATCTTCACTTCAAAATAATAAGAGGGTGGCTTTGGGCTAAGAGTCTAAAGAACTAGTTATGAAATCCAGCAACAGAATACAATTTGCCTTATAGCTTTGGTTCTCATTGTTTTTAAAGTGATGGTCCATGATGGCCATTTATTCACTACTCAGCTCCGTGTTGGTCAACACAATTAGTACATTCTTAGGCTTGCCTGCCGGTAAGAAAATATTTATTTTTCCTCAAGTTGCTACTTTTAATCCTCTCTAACTTTCCATGTTCAAATGCAAATTAATCCTCATTTTAAAATTCTACTTCTTTATTTCTCTACAGAGTCATGTGTGTCCAGCAGCCCAACTATATATTAATTCATCTAGCAAACAATGATTGAACAACTCTATGCAGAGTCCTGGTTTTGATGCAGCAAGAAAGTAAAATGTTATTCCTGCTCCTATGAGTTTGTGAGTTGGAAATAGGAGGCTATGACAAAGAATCAGATAGACATGAATGTTACGGTAGAGGCACAGGCAGCGTGCTGTGGAAATTCATAGACAGATTGACTCAGAGAAGGAAGGACTCGGCACTTGAGGGGTTTCCCAAAGAGTGGAGTTTCCTGAGACTTGTAACCATTTACATAATTTCACCAGGGGTAACCATAGCAAGAACAAAGTCTAGGAGTTGAGTGGTGGAGAGCTGGAGAGCAGGCTTGCTTTGGGTCCAGTGAGGGTGGTTAGATGAGTGGGGTTGAAGCAGACACAGTGTTATAAATATCAGGTAGAGCAATGCTTGGGCCCAGTGATGGCAAGCAGCAGCTGCACAGCCACCTGTGTTTACAGAGCTTCTCACAGAGGGTGCAAAGGGAAGGTCCTGCAGTGGCTCTAGGATGCAGCCTCTCTCTGGAACCTGCTGGCATCACATTGCCAAGGTACTGTATCTGCTTTACCTGAAACCCAAGCTTCTATTGCTGAGCTATGCATCCATGTCCTCTTGCCTTATCCTCAAAGAGTGGGAGACAAGAGGTCACTCCTCTGCACATAATGTACATTAGGCTCTTGAAGACGGAGCTCCAGCCCTCAGTTTTTCTTCAGAGCAAGTGACTGGAGAAATCCAAGACGTTTGTGGGGACCACAGGAGACAGTCATAGAAGAGACATAGAGTCTGGAAAATGCAAGGGCCACTCTTGTAATTAGCTAATATTGAGGGTGCACTCACGACACCAAGCACCTCCAGAGCAGTGACAGCAATGCTATATAACAGTATATACAATATTGCAACATGTGGTTCCCAACCAGGCTGGTAAGGGCTTGGAAATGTGTGTGCACATGCCAGGTAGGTGTTTAGTGGAAAAGGACCAAGGATGCTAAACATCCTGCTCGGTGTCACTCCGTCCTTGAGAACAAAAAGTTGTTTTGCCCCCTCCGTGATTCTTGAGTTTATTAGTTGACTTTGAAAATAGGTAGGTAGCCATTACTAAAGTGAGATCATTTATCTGATCTCACTGATCCGAAGCGCAGTCTCCATCCACAGTATTCACGGGACAAATAGTGTTGCATGACACTGTAGGTCGAAGGGCTTGGACATGGCGGGAAGGCTTTCTGCACAGGGAGCTTCAGACTAATGACCAGTCCCATGGTGCCGCCCTGGGCCGACAGCTGGCTGCCCTGTGCCAGTGCTCTCTGCAGGTAATACAGGCAGTGACGGGTAATGGTTGGGGACTTCTCACTGGCCAGCTGTGGGTCAGTGTAAGGCATGGATTCACTTTGGTGGCAATATCCATCAGCCATGGCAGGTCTGGGGAATTTGAAGAGCACCTGGGGGCATGGGTAGTAACGTTAGCAGATGACTCCATTTTATTGCTTGGTCATGCACTGGGTATTCTCGAAACACATGGCCACTGGACACTGATATCCCAGCCACCAGCCTTGAGGACATTCCATTCCTGAGTGGAAAAGGGTCTGAGAAATCTCGCACCTTTGGAAATGATGTAACTGCCAGTAAATCAGTCTACAGCAGTTACAACTGGCCCTTCAACAGTTACAAACAGCAAGAGATTATCTGAGGCGTCGGAGCTTAGCAGCATGCCTGCGCCACTCCAACCAGCTGGAGGCCTTATCAGTGGACCCAGCTCTGCAGCTGACAGCCCACCTGGTATGTGAAGCAGCCCGAGTTGCCGGGGAGCATTTTAGGATCCAGTGAGGATATGCATTAGAAACCCATGTCTTTATCATATTTCCATGTCTTTTAGCACCTAGTATGTGCCCTGCAATGTAGGTGAACTGGGCATACCTCACTAAACACTGTGTTTAAGTAGAATCCTGAAGGATTGTCAGTAAAAGGACTTGCGAGGTTTTTGTGTGGAGGGTTTAAAAATACCCACGCTAGATCTCAGGCATGCAAGAGACTCAGCATGAACTACTCTGTAAGTGACCTTATCATGCTCACCTTCTGGGATGGGGGTACTCAAACTTACGATTCAGGGAGACTTTATAAGACTGAAATACCTGGAGAGCCATCACCTCTGAATATTGCCCTTCCCCAGTGACCTGTGAGATTATCATGCACATTTGAGAAGAGGGAACAAGCAAAGACACTCTCCTTAGAGGTTTGCCTCTTGTTCACTTTCTCCCGTCATTCACGGAATCCGGGCTCTCAATCCATCTCCATTAATTTTATCATAAGCTTATGGAGGAAGAGGGGATACAATGTCTGTGTCCCTGAATGAATCCCCCTGGGTGGCCAATGAATTCTTACTAACCACACGGACACTTTTGTCCGACTGGCCCAGTGGACTTTAACTGCTGGGCCTTTCAAAGGCGGGCTTTGTTTTGTGTAACACCCATGTTCTTGATGCTTGCTTCAGAGTACATATGGGTGTTTCTTTTTTTTTTTTTTTTTTTTTTTTTTAAATATATTTTATTGATTTTTTACAGAGAGGAAGGGAGAGAGATAGTCAGAAACATTGATGGGAGAGAAACATCGATCAGCCGCCTCCTGCACATCTCCCACTGGGGATGTGCCCGCAACCCAGGTACATGCCCTTGACCGGAATCGAACCTGGGACCTTTCAGTCCGCAGGCCGACGCTCTATCCACTGAGCCAAACCGGTTTCGGCAAGGTGTTTCTTAAAGTCAATAAATGCCTGTTAGTAGTATTTCTTTTCAAAAAGCACCTGCCTAATTTCCTGAATCAATGGTTTTTCTCAGTAATGTTTGGTTTTGCAAAGAGATTTACTCATTTGGATGCTGTGTTAGGTCCTCATAGAGAATGAAACTTTGACTTATGTCCCTCTATTGATTTTTCCCCCCCGATACAAAACAGTGGCAAAAAAAGGGAAAGTTTAAGTACAAAATTTATTGCAGTAAAGAGATTAAAACAATTTTCTTATGTAAACCAAAATTAACATTTGTTTCACAGGACTACCAGTAGTTGGAAAAACTATCTATTACAATTGCACCGTCTGGCTGAAAGCCCAGCGATAGAGCTTGTTCGGGTCAGTGAGTGTGCTCAGACCCCAGGGAAAATTTCAGGACTACTGGCTCAGTAGAGGGAAAGAGACAATGAGACAATTGCATTGCTTACAAATGATCACCTTCCTGTTTGACAACCTGCATATCCAGTTGTGACCTTGATGTCAAGAATTCAAATCACAGATGCCCAAATTCATGCTTCTTGTAAATGGACCAGGATTTCCTTTTATGTGGCTTCCTGTGTATTTTTCAGCAATAACAGGGAAGAGAAGGCCAAGGGGCCCCATCCCATCTCAATACCCCTCTTCCTCCTTGAAAGATCTTCATCCTTCTTATCACTGTCCAAATCCTCCTGTGCCCATTCACCAGCTGCTGCCTGTTACCACTAGGAATCATCTTCTATCATCAGTATGATGATCAGATGAAAGGGAACTACACCAAGAGGGGAGAGCCAAGCCCCTGGGCAGAAATCCTGGAGGCCGCGTTTACATTTTATTTTATTTTTTTAATATATTTTATTGATTTTTTTACAGAGAGGAAAGGAGAGAGAAAGAGAGTTAGAAACATCGATGAGAAAGAAACATCGATCAGCTGCCTCCTGCACACCTCCTACTGGGAATGTGCCCGCAACCAAGGTACATGCCTTTGACCGGAATCGAACCTGGGACCCTTCAGTCTGCAGGCCGACGCTCTATCCACTGAGCCAAACCGGTTAGGGCCGCGTTTACATTTTAAAGGAGAATCCAGAAGATGAACTCTAAAGCAACCTCTGCTGCCTTTTCAGGGGCTTTAACGGATTGCTCCACTTCCTGTTAGGGCCCACTTTCTGAAGGGGGAGAGAAGTCCAAACTGCTCTCTGTGAGGAGGGAAGTAAGACTGGGTAAATAGCATAAAAATTGGAAGTAAATGCATCCCCCTCTATGGACCTTCCTTCATCTTCCTGGAAATAACTATGTTATTGGAAAAGTTTCGTAACTTCTCAAAGCCTCAGTTTATGCATGTGTAAAATGGGAATAACTATTGCACACATCTCTGAAGGCAATCAGGAGGGCTAAATAAAAAGCACAGAAAGTTCATAGCACAGAGCATGCCATATAAAAAGGATTCCATAATGGTTAGCTATCAATCCCAGCGTAAATCCTTCGCTCGATAGAGGAGAAAACTGAGGCCCAGAGAGAGGAAGATTCTTATCCAAGCTCTAAAGCAGGGGTCCTCAAACTTTTTAAACAGGGGGCCGTTGGAGGGCCAGACTATAGTTTAAAAAAAAACTATGAACAAATTCCTATGCACACTGCACATATCTTATTTTGAAGTAAAAAAAACAAAACAGGAACAAATACAATATTTGTATTTGCATGTGGCCCGCGGGCCGTAGTTTGAGGACCCCTGCTCTAAAGCATCAGGCTGCATGTCTTTCCACACCCTGCCATCCCACTTGTCCCCTTATAGTAAAACAAAATATAATGAAGCTGACAAGATTTCTTAGAGGCTCAAGATCCCCTCAGGGTGCTCTTGCATGGGGTCACGGACATGGCTTTTCCTCCCACAATCCCTTGCCTGCTTTCATTTTTAGCAGCTGTGTCCCATGAGAGGACGTCCTGGGTGCCAGAGAGCTTCCCCTGCTTCAGCACTCTCGGCTTTGCCTCTGGGCATCTTTCCATGGTGTTGCTGCCACCACCCCGTCCACTACAGACTCGGCATAGGATGGTGGTGCCTCTTGGTGAGCACCACTTTCAACCTCAAATCCAAGGTCCATCTCTGTGTACAGAGGTGGAGGGATATCCACGGCCTCTCCCTCTGCAGGACAGGTTTGCTTTCCAGCATCCAGACTTTCTTCATAAGCAGGAGGGTAAAAATCTGGCCTGGGGGACAAAATGCCACAAACATGTACATGTTATTCAAGTGGTTCAGGCCAGAGAGGCATATGATTGCCTCTCTCAGATCACACTGCAAAGTGAAACTGTTAAGAAACGTTGATTTTGAAACAGATGTATTTCTTCCCTGGCATCACCAGTTTTTAAAAAACATGTCGCTCTCCCAGCAGAGCCCTCTTTCTCAGCCATAAGATATGGGTCCCTGTAGTCACACCTTCCCCAGTGGGTTATTCCAGGTTATCCCTTCTCTCTCACCTGTTGGAACCAAGACTTCCAGAGTGAGATCCTTAGCAGGGGTAGGGAACATGAGGGCCTGAACTGTGGAACTTCTCTACCCAGTTATTCAGTCCATTCACATCCTATCTCCATTCACACATAGAATCATCTACTCAACTGCACTCACAGTCTCAGATCCTCACAGCCAATAAAATAATGAATGTAAACCAGTTCCATGAAGTTCCCTGCATTACATCAGATGCTCGTCTCTTTCCCATTGCTTTTTCAAGTCTCGGCAGCTAGTTAAAAAAACAAGAACAAAACAACTAACTTCCCAAGCGATTTAAACTGAGAACTTTATGTAGATTTCAGTTGCAACTTTTTTCCATACCATCACACCAATGGCTAATAGAGCCATTCATGTCTGAGCTGGTAATCTTGCCCAGTGTTGCTAATTGCTGAATCCTCCCGGCTTCTCCATTATGAATGGGATTGGGGGTGGCATGGAGGTGAGGAAGAGAGAGGGTGAGCTTGGTTGAGCTGTGTATTTACAAAGTGAATTCTTCCAGTGCCTACAGGGAGTGTTTGTGATATGTAACCACAACAGAACAGGGACTGCCATTTGTAGGCACAGCTCCCTTCCAAATGTAACCAGGCCCAAAGCCAAATGGCTGAAGCCACTGTCTACTGTACAGCCCACATCTCAGCCTTCACTCAGAATAGCCAAGGCTGTGTCATGGGGCATATGTGTTAAGACACTGAAAACAGTAAGGTGAGCTGTCCCCTAAAGCAGTGGTCGCCAGCCTTTCCGACCTCACAGACCACCGGTTGGCGACTGCTCCACTAAAGTGATTTGAGAGGCTCCAGGATGACTGCTGCCTGCCCCCCAAATCCCATTCACCTCTCCCAACCCTCCTCACCTCCAGCAGTTTCATTCCCAATGCCCTGGGTTCTACCACTGCAAGCCCATTTGCTTTTATTTTTTTAAAAAATTTTTTATTGATTAAGTTATTACATATGTGTCCTTATCCCCACATTACCCCCCATACCCCACTCATGCCCTCACCCCCCTGTTGTCTGTGTCCATTGGTTAGGCCTATATGCTAGCATGTAAGTTCTTTGGTTGATCTCTCCCCCTTACCCCCACACTCCCCTACCTTCCCTCTGAGGTTTGAGGGTCTGATTGATGCTTCTCTGTCTCTGGATCTGTTTTTGTTCATCAGTTCCTGTTGTTCCCCATTTGCTTTTAATTCCTCAATGTGGGTACCCATTTGAACGCAAATGCTTCTGGGAAATGTAACTTCCCATTGGCTGACTTGCTAGCCATTTTGACTAAGCTGGGCATCTACTAGATGCAGTAGGAAGAGACAATAAACAGGGGCATCATGCTGTCTATAATTTAAGGCATTTCTGCACAGTGTGATGTTATGTATGTATTAATAAATTTAAGCTACACCCAAAAGGTAATCAATTACTCTTATCAGGAATTTCATACTCTGGAGGCAATTATCTAACATTTATGCAAAATAAAATCAGCATTCTAGATGCATCTTCTAAAATCACTTCAGTTATCTCAACATTTTATCAAACCCAGAGTCCTTGCTGGTAAGTATAATAAACATCGGAAATGGGCTTGGATTATTATAATTAGTATCATTAATTAGCATAATAATGTAAAAAATCAAGTCATGGGTAAAAGTGCACTACTTATTCAAAATACACGGAGTAGCAAAATATACAGAGTAGCTAAAGTAATTTAGATGAAGAGGGTAAAAGAATTTATGGAGTCTTGCAGCCCGTACCTTAAGGATGATGCCTGATGTTTTATCCCTAAATGGTCCTGCGGTCAGCCAAGAATTAGGAGGTTTGGGGTTGTCAGATACTAACCATGAGGTTAACTGAAATGTTTTAATGTGGTAAAATATATAACAAAATTTACCACATTGGCCAGTGTGCAGTTCACGACACTAAGTACATTCACATTAAATGCACCCATCACCACTATTATCTCCAAGTGCCCATTAAACAGTTACTCCCCATCCCCCCGCTTCCTGCCCCTGACAACCACTGTTCTACTTTCTGTCGATGAATTTGACTTCTCTAGATACTTCATATAAGTGAAATCATATACATTTGTATTTTTGTGTCTGGTTTATATCACTTAGCCTAATGTCTTCAAGGTTCATCCATGGAGGAGCATGTGTCAGAATTCCTTACTTCTTAAGGCTGAAAAAAATACTCCACTGCATGTATACACCCCATTTTGTCGATCCGTTCATTCACTGATGGCCTGGGTTGCTTCTTCCTTTTGGCTAGTGTGAAGGATGCTGCTATGAATATTGGTGTAGATATAGCTGTTCCCAGTCCCTGCTTTCAGTTCTCTTGTTTGTATACCTAGAAGTGGAATTGCTGGATCAAATAGTAATTCTGTGTTTAATGTTCTGAGGAACCTCCATATAATTTCCCACAGTGGCTGCACCACTTTACATTCCTACCAACAGTGCACTAGGCTTCCAATTTCCCCACACCCTTGAGTTTTCTTTTTAATAGCTATCCTAATGGGTGCACTGTGGCCAGGTTATCTGAATCTTACCTCTGGAATATAATTGCTTTCCCTCAAATGAATCTTTCATGCAAAGTATGCTCACAATACCTAAAAGGTCACTCAGCTGGGACTTCCCTGCGTTCCTAGTGCAGGACTGATTTATGCCCCCGTGCTCACTTGCTGTGTGGCAGAATTAGGCTCTGGGCTTGCTTTGCTTACAACCTGGTAGCCAGATTATAAGGAATAACTACCAGCTTCTAAGGACAGCTCCCACCATACCACAAAAGAACCTTAGAGTCAGGCCTCTTAAATTGGCTTAGGTGGGTTTTCAATGTGTGTGTGTGTTGGGGGGGAGGCAGCAGGGGATGGAGTCTCTGATATAAATTCCATTTACTTCATGGTTTTCCCCAGAGACAGCACCATTATTCCTATTAACTAACCCCAGAGTAATCCCCTGATGATAACACTTTGGCTCTAGACATACAGCCCCATGAGACATGTCAAGTGCTCCACAGCGGGGTTAGAAGTCACTCAGCTTTTCCAGAACTCAGGCCCATCTCAACCCTCATCGGTCCTCTGGCTTATCAGCACATACCTGTCCACTGTGGCTGGGGCCATGGCCCTGTGAGCAAGATGTGGTCTGAGCCCATGGCTGAACATCCCTTTGTTTTCACTCGCCTGGCGGTAGGTGCTCCAGAAAATCCCACTCAGAAGGATCACAAACCCCAGAGGCAGAAGCAAATAGGCCAGGATCAGGTTCCACCGACAGTTGAACGTGGAGCCTGAGGAGATGAAGAAGGCCCCCAGGCAGATGATCAGAAAGCCTGTCAGAAGGGCAAGGGCACAGAGGACTGCACCGGTTCTGTTCCGCATCCCTGCTTCTTGGGAACCCGGCTCCCTGACCCTGCCACTCCCCTGCTTCCCCTGCTCAGAGAGAATGCTCTCATTAGCCAGCTCGTAGCTTTATACCTCTGGGACCAATTGGCCTTTGGACAATTAAATGAAGCAGGCACTTAGAAGGTACTCATTAACCATTGAAAGTAACTATAATGTATATTGGAGGATTAACCTAAAAACACAGCACTGTGTACTACAGAAAGGAGTGGCTTCTCATAGCTGCCTTGCTCTTCTGAGCGGGAGAGGACCCTCTGCTGACACCAGTTATTTGAGGGGAGGTCTCCCATCATGGATTACAAGAACACTGGTGTCTTAATCCCTACTGTGGGTAATTCCCCACGAATGCTAGAGAAATTGGCTTTCCTTGATGAACTATCTTCTTTGTGGCTTAGCAGGAAGTCCCTTGATTTCTTACTTCTTTCTCTGTACTAAAAAGACTTTCTCAAAGGCCCTTAACATGTTTGTCTTGCCTCTCTCACTGACTCTCCCTTTATTGCCTTTGTACTATGATATTGAAAAAATTCCAAGAGAACATCCCTTGGAGTGAACTCCCTGATTCCTTCTCTGCTGACAGGCAGGAGGGGAAGAGTGCTGGAGAGAACTGTAATAGACAGAGCTTTGGGAATTGGGAGGGATTTCTGTGAGGAGTTGTAAAAGGTGATGATGTGGTGACTTCTGCTCTGATTCTGATTTTGGACACCCATTGTTGGTGTCCAAATGTTGAGATCCAAGGGTCATTTCTGCTTATCACATAGGTGTTAGATAAAAATATTTTGCTTATTGCCCAACCACTGGCCACCATTCTTGGCTTAGAGAAATATCTGAACCAGTTCCCACCCATCCTGCTAAAACAAATAAAAAAAAAAAAAGCCACAGGCATTTGATAAAAGAGCATTCTCTGAAATACACAGCATGTTACCACCTCCACACAAAACAAATAAATACTTGTGAGAAGCTCTGCCTAATCAAACCGCACTCTCCCTCACACACATCTTAGGGTCTCACAGTGCATACTAACATACTAAAGGCCCTGAAAATCCTGTGATCTTCTTCCCCTCATAAAATATATATTTAAAAACTATGTTTTGATAGATGCTGCTAAAAAATGTTTCCTGCCCTCTCCCCCATACTTTTGCTCTATGTAGTGTTGCCTCAAAAAATCTTTCTAGAACCCACTTCTCTTTTTTTATTCCAGAATGTGTTTCTTCCATCTTGACTGTCTTTAGTTGCAGACACCCTATTCTAGATCTGGTTCATGCCCTAATTCTTTCATTTTTTATTTGATGTATGTCCCTGCCCACGGGGGTCTCTGGGCCACCTCTGTCCAGAGAGGTTATCTTCAGTTCCTCTTTGATTTTTCTCTACCCCCCTATTCCATTACCATTATTTTCCACTTACCTTCCCAGTGGAGAAAGCAGTTCTTTGCACAGTAAATACGTGTAAAATTAAAGACACTGGTTCCAAAATGCTATAAGGTACATCCCATTCTACCTTCTAACGTCTAACTTTACTAGCTTCAAACCTTATACCCTGAACTACTTTCATCTTCTAGTCTTGATATTATCCTTGAAATCTTAAAACAACTCTTTCTCCCTCCTTCTCTGGTTGGTCTTGAGGTTGGCAAATTTCTAAGATGACCCCCAGGGATCCATGTCCTTTTGAGTGTGGACTGGACATGGTGGCTCAATTCTAACCAAAAGAATATCGCAAAGGTGATGGGTGTCACTTCCATGAATAGGTACAAAAGACTGTGACATCTGTCTTGCTAGCATTATCTCGCTGCCTCATAGCTTGCACCCTTGAGGAAGGAAGTTGCCATGTTGGAGAGGCCATAAGACAAAGAACTGAGGGCAGCTTCTGGCCAACAGTCAGTGAAGACCTGAGGCCCTTAGTCCAGGAACCAGTGAGGAACTGTATCCTGACAATGACCACGTGAATTTGGAATCAAATCCTTGCCCAATTGATCCTTGAGGTGACTGTGGCCTAAGCAACACAGTGACTGAGAGACCTTGAAGCCAAGCACTCAGCTAAGTCACGCCCAGATTCCTAACACACGAAAACTGGGAGAAGGTAACTGACTGTGTGCTGTTTTAAGCTGCCAAGTTTTGTGGCATTTTGTTAGGTAACTAATACGGTTCTTTAGGACTTGGAAACCAGAAGACACAATCAATGTTAAAGTTTACACAGTGCCTGGCACGTAGAAAATGCCCTGTCTACATTAGCTAGAATCATCCTCACCATTATTGTTACTTTTATTACTGTTGTGATTCCAAAAAACTGGGGAAGACCCAGGATTTCCAACTATAAGGGGTGCCCTAGAAGTTGGGTACCAAGAACAGGTAAATGGCAGGGCCCCAGAGATAAGTGTAGAGGAAGGAGGGACAGCACTCTCTATCAAAACTGCTCACCCAAAGGGTTGGGCTTTTTTGTGTTAGACCAAAACTGGGGGAAGAGTGAATCAGACTGGGCTTTAGAACAAGTCAGGCCTGGTTCCTGTGATCACACGAATATTTGAGCAAGCAAGTCTCTGCACTTTCCCTCCTCTAGTTCCAGTAAAGGATAAATAGTGCCTCATAGTTTGTCAGACAGATTCTTCACTTCCATATCCTTTAAGGAGGACCCTGTCATTCCAGAGCAGTGGGTTTTGTTGGTGGTGGTTTTTTGTTTGTTTGTTTTGGTGAGAAACTGGGTAGGAAAGAGCAAGACCCAAGAGCTGGCAGGAGGATGAAAGGGAGTAGTGACTTTACATGAGATCCCTGGGCTCAGAATATTTGAGTTTATCTTGGGTGAGGTGGGGCATCAAGGAGAAAGTATAGAAGAAGGTGTAGTATATGAAGAGTAGATGGGGAAGGGGAAAAGAAACGATATAGAAATAGCAAGTATTGCTGGGAGCCACCTGTCTCCTTCATGACAATGGTTGAGACATACCCAGGGATGATTAATGTTACCGTTATTTTTGCATGTTTGTGTTTGTTTTATAAAATATATAAATTATTAAATAATAAGATTTTTTTGCTGTGACTCTGCTTCAGTTCTGAACCACATCCACCGCTGCTGCATGACCACTATTCCCCTTTGATGCCTCAGCAATGACCAAGGATAACTCAAACCAGTTGACTTGGAGTTTTAAATAATTTTTTTATTACTTGTGGTTTCCCTGTTGTTTGTGTTGTGGTATACCCACATTCCCCACAACTACTAGCAGTGAAAAGGCTTTTTGAAAAGTAGAAAATGAAAGTAGATTGGTGCTTGCTTCAGTGACCATGAACGAGCACAGGCATTGAGAGAAAGCACCCTGGCCTTCATCAGCCTTGAAGGGGCAGAAACCCAGGCAGAACAGCAGGCCAAAACCTCAGGGCTGGGAGAAAAGAAAAGGAATCCAATAGAGAGCCAGCCAAACACCAAAAAGTCACCCTACAGAGTCCGTTTCAGGAGACCTGTGGGCTTTTGCCTGGGCTTCCTGTGTTCTCCCCTATCTGCTGGGTCTGCCTTCACTCCCAGGCCAACTTTCCTACCCTCCTCCACCTCATTACATACCCAGCACTGAGTGTGAGAGTAAGGGGCCGGGAATATTGACTCCACTTAAAGGTGAAGAAACTGTAAGAGACAGCGCTTGATGATTCATTGAAGTTCATATAGACAGTGTGGGACTGATGGTGAATGGGTACTCTGGGAGGAATATGGACAGGATCCCACCTTCGATAGAGGAACATTCTGGGACCCATCAGAGGCCAAGCTAAAGTCCTCTTATCCCAACTCCCATCTCTTCAACAATAAACCCATCTGGGAAATGATGTTTTTCCTTTAAACCAGTTTATTTATTGTCATCATTCTTAAAAAGTCACCAGTCAGCAAAAGTGCCTGGCTTGGCAGTAGGCAGTAACATGTTATTTGGTTGACAGCCAAACTATCTTAACACATAATCACTCTTTCAACACTCTGTTCCTGTGAGCATGACCACCCCATGGGTGCTGTTCTGAACACTGAGTGAGCTGTGTTCCAAGCACTGTGCTGCATTCCCCCTCCTTTCAAATGCTCCCTGCAGTATGTAAATGCCTTGGAACTTCTAATGGCCCTCTGCCCTGCCTTTGTTTGCTGGATGCTTGGCCCATACCCTTCTCTTGAAAACAGGAAAAGCGTATTGCATTGGGTAAGAACTCAATGGGGACTTTGGAAGGAAGCTAATGGTGTGTAGAAGCTGTTGCATAGGAGGGGCATGAGGCCAAGAGCTGAGGTTGAGTGGCCAAATTTCAGAAGGTCACTTTGCTTCAGGAAGTGAGGCTTTGTGGGAGATGGGGAAGGTGAGTGTGTGCGTAGCGAGCGATGTCAACAGGGTCTGGTGATTCCTGAGTGATTTCTGGATTAGCCTTTCACACGTATGGGTTCATTGAACACCGGCCATTTCCACCTCTTTTCCTTTTTGTTTTCTCTGCTTTGGAAACTCCCCCGTCCACCACCACTACCACCTCTCCTTTTCCCCTCACTTACTCAAGGAGGCATTTTTAGGTTGACAGAGTACAGACAGTTTCTCAGAGAACGTTTAGCATTGTGAAGTAAGGTGATATTAGATACCACACAAGACTCACACTCACCCTTGAATGAACATAGTGGATCTTAAATAAGAAGACAAATTTTGTTCTTGAATAGCTCGGCTTCCAATTTAAGCCACGAATAAGCCAGAAGAGATTTTAATTTCTTCGTGGATTCTTGGAAAACCGGAAGGAGACCATATTTCTGTGGCCACTTCGGATCAGAGCAGAAGCCTCAAGCCAGGGCAGAACTGGACTGCCTGAGTTTACACTAGTTGGCATGACTGCCAGTGACTTGTGAATATGAAGTAGGTTCTGTGTCCCACCTCAGGAAATTTTCTTCAACATTGATCTTCTATCTCCCATTTACAAATAAATCCTAATATACATTTAGTAGTCTCATTGTTAGTAAGAATGTAGAGTATCCTTTTCAAGTTTTTATGTGTATATTCTAGGATGAACCAAATAGCTTAATATCAGTACAGACCAAAATTTTCAGCATGAGATGCACAGCAAAATCAA